AAGGTGGAGGAAGGTGGGCCAAGGTGCGGGAGGGAAGGCAGGGCAAGGTGCGGGAAGGCGGGGAAAGGAGGTGGCCGCTATTTTTTCTTTTTTTTAGTGGCCCGTGGGCCACGGATCAGATGTTAAAGTGATCAGAACAGATACTACACTTGATTTTAGCCAAAAGGCTGAGAACGGTGAAGGCTGGGGGCGGGGAAGGCGGGTGAAGGTGCGGGAGGGAAGGCGGGGCAAGGTGGGGGATTGAAGGTGGGGGATTCAAGGAGATACTTGTAAAATGCCATAAGCTTGATTTTGTTTGTGTACTTGTGCAACAACTCCCTAAAAAATATTTTTTCTTCTATCAAACAAACCATTAGCCTTAAGGTATTCCCTAAATTAGTTTTGCTGTTTATCTTCTTGACTCCATTCTGTTAGTATGATTTCCAAAATACTAGTTTTCTCAACAAACTTGGTGATTGCAAATGGAACATGCGTTCCAGAAATGAAAAAAATATATTTTTTTGAAAATTAATCTTGTAGTTCTTGACTCAGTCCAGTTTTCACGAAATGTCTACTTGTCAAGAATGGCCCTCCGACCTCCATTTATTTGCCCTATGCCCCTTTAACGGCCGGGACACCAACGGCCACAGGGGCATGATGAAAAGTTGCACCCATCATTCACAGGGGCCTGCAGGACCACTTCAGAGGCCCCAGGGGCACGACAGGGTAAGTCGGCCATCACAGGGGCACTCCACAAATAAAAGTAAGTCAGACGCGCATTTCTAAAATTTGATAAAGAAGGAAATGGAGATGCGAGAGGACATCAGTAATACAGATCCCTGCATAGATAAACCATGCGCGACGCAAAAGACACAAATATTGAGCTCAGTGGACTCCCTTCACATGGAACCAGAAAACCACATTCAGCTCAGTGCTCGGCTATGAAACTGTTTGAGCGCTCGCGCTTAAATAACCCCGTCTCAAACACGCTCAAAGCGTTTTGAGGCGCGCGTGCTCGTCAAAAAAAACAGCGCTCACGTGCCATGGGGTTGCGCGAAGGCAGGGGATGCCGTGTGGGCGGTTGCGCACAAAAAAAAAGTCGGGTGGTTGGTGGTGATTTTTTGGGGGGGAGGGGGCTGGGTGGGGAAGATGGTGGCTCTCTCTCTCTCT